ACGAATGTACTCAATGTAAAATACAGGTTTCATTTCAATATAGGTAACTACTTGAACGCCTTCTATTAACGGTCTGTTCCCAGCCATGCATGAAAAACCGGAGAAAATATACTGTCATCTTTGTACACAAGCAAATAGCGATGACTTAACAAAACAATACATGTAAAATGCAACGTTTACCACAGTGCTAGAGTAAGTCTTAGAAATGGTTTACATTTCTTTAAAGTCGCTTACACATTTTCGTTTAACGACAATGAAGTGAACATGAACTAGTGTTTTTTCCTGCTTTTTCTGATGTGCTGGTACACTTGCTCCACTTCTGTGAGCTGCGGGAGCACAAATGGGCTGACGCCAACAATAGTGATGGGTCCATAGAACACACACGACATGTGACATGTCTCGATGTCATCACGCACCGGCCAGTCAAAGACTCTCGCCCCGGTTGAGTGCAGAAATTTGAATTCAATTTGCGAGTCGTCTTGGCTACTGTTCAACGCTCTGCCAAAATAGAATGACTTCTGATACTCAACGGCATAGTATTGTCCTTCAGTTATGGCAGGCCCATCAAAGCAAAGAACCTCTTTCTCGTGCAGCTCAAGAATCATGTGTTTCCTGAAGTTCTGAATGCTACTGCTGGATACAACTGGCGATTGTAGCAGCAAACTTCTTGCATACAAGCAGATAAATACCCCACAGTCAAAACCATTCTGCTGCTGTGGAATATCCTGTGGAGAATTACAGGAAAAAGACCACTGAGTCAGATCAAGGGCTGCATCCAACTGCTTCAAAAGATCCCACATCTTTCTGATCGCGCTTGAAACGGTTGGCTTAATAAAGGCCCCAGCCAAGCTATCCAAAGCTACAATTTTCTTTTCCAGAGGTAGCACAACAAGGAGAAACCAATGCTTACTTTGGCCTGGATTGCACGGTACGAGAAAAACATCTTGTGCCAATATTGAAGCTTTACCCTTTAGTGCCTTTTTTACAGGCTTGCTTCCTCCAATGCCTTTCTCGAATTTTTCCCATTCAAGACTTTCAACCTTGCTCTTTGTTGGAATGTTCTTAATCAGCAGATTCAAATAGGTGTCAATTACAAAGTTATTTAAGTAGTTGTCTTCATTTCGAGCTTGGCCACCCAGAAGCGTTTCCAGGTCTTTCGTATCAACGATATTGCTGCCATTCAACTTCAGTGTACCATCAAGTAAACAGTCTAGAAGGGGCTGTTTGTGTTCGGGGAAGTTGCAAGTTGTCTCCTGCATGCTGATCTTGGAAGCCAGATTTGAATCAAGCCCATAATGCACCACGGGTTTCATATCTTGCTGGGAAACATTGGGGATAGCGTCGCGATCTTTTTTGTCACTCACGTTTGGTCTACTGGAAAAGTAACCTCTCAATGACGCTCCGAGTTTCCCACCTGAATCATTCCCTTTCTTTGCGATTTTTGACGCAATATCACTGTCATCTACTAGGGAGGTTGCATTTCGTTTCCTTGCTTTCTTGGGGATGCTTCTCTGATCTTGCACAGCTTCTTTGAAGACCGTTTGCACTTTTTCATCCTTTCCCGGCGGAGAACTTTCTTCCTGAACCGCAGAGTCAACGGTAGTGTCACTTGCCTTGGAATTGCCACGCTTGGAACTTTTTCCGCTGAGTGAAGATCTGACTGAATTTTGACCCAATTCACTTTCTTTCTTCAGGTTCTTTGGAGTAACATCGGTGGCATTTCCT